TTTATCACAATTTGACGAACTTGTTTGAAAACGTGAACGCTTTATATTCTGCATAGTAAAATGAATCACTTGTAGTTTAACTCGCAAGAAACAGTAACTGACTAATGGGTCAAAAATGGTGCCGCTCTTTCACCACAAAAAGTCGATATTGAAACATGAATTCTTGCCTTTGAGGATCAACACAATCTCGATTTTAGAACATAAGAATCGAATAATGCTATTGTTTCTCGATCGTTTTTTCTACAGCTTCCAGTTGTTCGTCGACAAGCACGACTTCAAAGAAGCGTCCCCGATGTGATGTTTGCCATAAACGTGTCGGCTTAACAGGTAAGCTAATTAGATGAATATAGAAAGGGAGTAGATATACACGTGCCAATGTTTACAACATCTAGCCATATCCTCCAAATCCGTTCGTTAGCCATTGATTTACGGATGGCCTCTGTTTCCACTTGTAAGGCTTACTCTCCAAATAAAGATGCTGCTGCGTAGAATGGATTCCTGTAAGGTGTTATCACACCAGTCCGAATAGGAGCTAAATATTAATTCACTTAATTACGCTTAGAGGAATCAAGAGTGTATCTCATTCAGAAATGTTACAACGTGTTCTTGGTACTCGGCTCTGTCGTCCAAAGTTGTGTTAGTGCATGTTAATGTGTCTATTTCCTCAGACTATTTTTATCAACCATTCGATCAATACAAAAAACGATACCAGCTGAAAATCCAAGGAAGAGCGTGTAAAGTTAGTGGTTATTTAGAGAGAGAATTAGTGAATGCTTGCAGTTCTGAATGCTTTCCGTCATTAATCGACTTCTGTGCACCCTTTATTATGATGGTGTGAACCATNGAGTACAGGTCCAAGGAAAGCAGGTGTGCGTGAGGTAATTAAGGAGTCCGACGGCACACTGATCCATATTCAGCAACGTCGTCTAGATCGATGGGCAGAACATTTTAAGGCTCAGTTCAGCTGGCCGTCGTCAGCACAAGACCTCCCCACACCGACTCAACTGTGCAAATACTGCCAATTGACATCAGTTCTCCATCTGAAGTATAGGTTACCCGAGAAATAAATCATCTCCAAAGGTATAAGGCTTCCGGCCCCGACGGTCTGTCCCCATCGGTTTATAAGAATGGATGTTTAGCTTTGGTTTTGTAGTAACAAAACTCCTGGGTTCAGTGTGGGAAAAGGAACCGGTTCCACCTGAATGGTGTGAATCGGTGATCATACCGATTTACAAGAAGGGCGACAGGTCCTCCTGTGAAAACCACAGAGGAATTAGTTTAATTAACATTGCCTGTAAACTCTTCGCCGGCATCATACGCCGTCGATTGTGTGCGGCACGTGAACGGTGTAAGCGTGAGAACCAGGCTGGTTTTAGACCTGATCGAGGTTGTATCGACCACATCTTTACTCTTCGTCAAATCCTAGCACACAGACACTCTTTTCGTAGACGCACCATTTCCATCTTCCTGGACCTGAAAGCGGCTTTCGACTCGGTCGACCGCTCTAAACTCTGGCGCTGCCTTACCCTGAAGCGTATGCCCGAGAAGTTTATTTCAATATTACAATCCCTGTTTAGTCATAGCCGAAGCCGAGTCCGAGCTTACGACACTTGTTTACCTGAGTTCACTACATATAGTGGTGTTCGATAGGGTTGCCCTCTCTTNGATCGAGGTTGTATCGACCACATCTTTACTCTTCGTCAAATCCTAGAACACAGACACTCTTTTCGTAGACGCACCATTTCCATCTTCCTGGACCTGAAAGCGGCTTTTGACTCGGTCGACCGCTCTAAACTCTGACGCTGCCTTACCCGGAGAATTTTATTTCAATATTACAATCCCTGTTTAGTCATAGCCGAAGCCGAGTCCGAGCTTACGACACTTGTTTACCCGAGTTCACTAAGGAAAGTGGTATTCGTCAGTGGTATTCGCCCTCCCTCTCTCCGTTTCTATTTAACTTTGTCATAGATTTAATTCTTGAAACAGCCCTATCCTCGTGCAGGGATAGCGGCATCGATTTACTCCCACGTGGCAGATTG